GGATGATATTGCCATTTATAGTTGATTTACCCATTAAAAATGGTGATTTTCCATACCATAACCTACCAGACCCAATTTATCATCCAGGCAGGTGACATGGATGGCCATGGATGGCCATGGCCCTGGCAGGATGACGATGTGAAGGTGTCCTGCACCGCTGTGCGCGTGCCAACGCTCCGGGCGCACTCTGAGTCCATCACGGTGGAGACGGAGGAGCTGAAATGGCCAAAGCTCCCAGCTTGACATATGTTATGATGATGATGATGATGATTTATTGTTCTGATAATGTTTTCCACTCATGTTTTTTTGGGGTTTCACTTCTTGTTCTTACTGCAGGAGCCCATCTCCCCAGATGATGTGCGAGAGCTCCTAAAGTCGGCCCCAGGTGGTGAGCTGTGGTTGGGTTGATGGAAGCACTGAGGAACCAAGCGCACAACATTTCCACAAAACATGAGTGAATGAAGGCATGATAAGGCATGGCTCAAACTCGGAAACACCTTAAAACCAAACAAATTCCTTTCCAAAAATGGTTTGGTCTCAAAATGTGGCATCCCCCGTGGATTTAAACCTCACTCTCATGATGAAACAAACTTGGGATATTCGCCCTTGGCCAGGTGTTAAGGTGGTCGATGAGCCAGATTCCCTGCAGTATCCCATGCCCCTGTCACTTTGTGCTGACGGGGTCCAGAATTGGATGTGCATCCCAGTGTGTATGTGCTTTAAAATCATGTTAAGTGGCAGACATTTTTGTAAACCCTACATATGGTAGGTGGTGAACAGCACTTGCGAATTTGATCAAGTTAGCATATTTGCAAATGGGAAAACAAGATAGCTACTATTTGTGATGGATCTCCAAATTTGGGAGGGATGCCCAAAGGGTTTCATGGCTGGTTGCAAAGCTGAGAGCCGATTTTTTGCCGTTTCAATTTCAATGGTGACAATATCGCTATACTATTATACATCCACCTATCTAGCTATCCAATCTAATCTGATCTGATCAAATCCTAATTCAATCTGATCCTCATCGAATCCAATCTAATCCCATCTCATATTTCTATCTCCATCCATTCAAAGAATCCCAGCGCAACGCCGTTTTTTTTGCCCAGGAATGCCACTGGAAACTACGACGTGGAGGTCGGCCGCATCCGTCAATCCATCGTCTTCGGTGACAAGGGCATTGAGTTCTTCCTGTCTGGCGACCAGTTGTTGCGGGGGGCAGCACTCAATGCGGTGATCATCGCGGAGAAAGCTGTGAAGGACCGGTGATGCACGGTGAAATCACCAGAAGTGATGTAGTACAGGCTAACTGTATATATATGATTATATATGATTATATGTGTGCATATAGTTATATGACCAGAGATATGTCATGAATAACTGGTCAGATGCCGTTTCGATTTTATGCCAAGATATCAAATGCCATTACATCGATACAGAGGCACCAAAGCAATGCTTGCAATCTCTGCCAAAATGCCTGGCGGCCCTGCGGCCAATCCTAGTTTTGATGTTCCAACCCTCGGCACAGTCAGAGGGGACATGGCCACCGAGAATGGTTTCCATGCCACAAATCCTGCCATGAAGCCCTGGTTGTGCAGACGTCTTTTCCCTCGAGACAGAACTCAGAGGAAGATTTTTGGAGCTCCCGTGGTGGAATCGAGTCGCATAAAATTGTTTACTTGGATGATCATCTAAGATCATCTATATGCATATATATATATGTAGGAAAGGGGTCAAGGGGCCAAGGGGACTTGCTCAGTGTAAGAGTGCCATCTTCTTGGCGTATTTTCTCCATGCTGGTTGTGACCGCCCACCACTGCGGGATACTGTCGATATTTTCTTTGAAGCACCGGTGCAAGCCATCTTTGCGCAGTGCAAACTTGGGAGGGCTCCGATTTTGTGGACTTTTGTCGCGCCAAGAGATTCAAAAAAAGATAGCGCGGCCCCACCGAGCAGCGATTTCTTTGCAGACACCCAGCTATCTCCCAGAATTTTTGGGATTACAGCATTAAAAAAACCAAAATAAGGCAGATGTGGGCAGATCTGCTGTGTTTTTTGGAATGTTTTGGCCACCTCTGAATGCATCTCGGGAAACCCAGCTACGTCAGGTGCAGCCGAGGCTTCTGCTGCCAGCTTGAACAAGCGATCTCTGAAAAAGGGCCTCTTTTGCTGAGGGTGGCCTTGGAAATGAATGTTGTGAAGAGTATGGCATCAAGGGATGTCAATGGTAATGTATATATAATATTATATAATATGATAATAGGTATTAATATATGTTACAATAAGTTACACTCTTATATATTGTGCAGATATTAGCATACTTATACACTATCACTATCTATACCAATCCTTTGTCCCCAAGGATCAAGTCTGCCATGTTATGCTTCGCCACTCGGGTTCGACCGTCGCATCGCTGAGATGCGCTCTATGCAGACATCTCGGAGTCCTCTGCGGCCGCCTCTAAATGGGACCGCAACAATGGGTCCATATGGGGCCCAATCCATTAAGGTACCCCAATGGCTGGATGGTTTAAAATGGAAAATCGTATTACAATGGATGATTTAGGGGTAACCCATATTTTCGGAAACTTCCACATATTTCCACTGACGTTTGAGACCCAAAAAGCACATGATTTCCATTGATTTCCTCAATTAAACATCACACTGTTGAACTGCCAAAAGACTTCAAAAGGTGAAGATCGTTGAAGAATGCTTGAATGATTGACCATTCTGCGAAAGGCTTTTTGGCTGTACATCCTTAAAGTGGCCATTGAATGGGAAACATGATGATCAACCATGGAGTTTTGGGGCGCCCTATTTTACGACAAACCCATCTAAAGGTTTCTCGGCAGATTGGACAGCCATGTGAGGACCCGTTGCAGCGACCGAAGCCAAACCCAGAGGCTTGGCAGATATCCAGGTTGCCTTTGTTTGCCTTCTGCATGCGTTCTGCTTTTTTCTGCTTCCTTTCAGCCTGCAAACCTTCTATAGGCCTTTGGTTGCTTGCTTGCTTGCTCGCTTCATTTTGCTGCCAGTGCTGCTGCTGGCGTGCTGCGGGACGCACACTCCTCTTGGTCCGAGAGATGTGCGGTGACGGGGTCGTGGCGGCTTCTCCACAGCTGCGGCAAACACATGTATTCCCAAGACCTGCTGTCACTGAAGTGCCGACTGTACACCCCCCGTAGATTTGTCATTACTTGGCGATAGGCAGTTGCCCCTCCATCTTTGCGATGCAGGCTGACATTAGCAAAGCCTCCAGAGAGCAGGATGTTGGTGCGGCACCGTGCGCGTTTCGGAATCTGGGGCTATCTGGGGCTAAGGATGTGAGTAGCGCTGCAAAATTTGTAGGGAACATCATGTTAGTCCCTTCCCCGTAATATTCTGCGTATAATCTCAACCGATATTACATGCAACTCATATGGACCCCCAGAATGAATAGATTCAATAGATCCAAGACCAAACAGATTCAATAAGTTTCCAGGGGGTCTTCAATATTAGGGGATGTTAGGGGGATGGGATCACCTAAAGGAGGCACCTGGACTGGTCATAGTCAGTGCTTCCCAGATCATCCCAGTCGACCGATCCCCGAATTCCCCTCAGGTACGAGGCCAAGGGTAGCGTGCCAGATGACAACAGAAGTCTGGGGCGTAGCCTCGATATTGGAACAGTTGAAACCCCCTAACTGAGGCATTACCAATGACCAAGACTTGGTGATATGATTTTGATAAGACCAATTGAGAAGTCTCCAAGCCAACGAAAGGGAAACACACCAAAATTAAGTGAAGTATAATGACCCGACCACTACGTCGCGCAGCCCAAAAATGAGGTTTCCTGTCTGTGGATTCTTATAGGGTGGCCGAGGGGACATGGTTAAAACTATTTGTGGCGAGCCACTTGGAGTTGTTACAGAAATTGATGCCAGCCTTCACCACGTGTGCAAAGCTCAAAACCTGGATTATTTGAAAGGAAACAGTGATACGTTCATCAATAAGGGTTAATAGAACATAAATACTTCCCGAAAAATAGAACCCATGTCACCCAAAACTGTGCAAAAAAACTGGGGGCAAAATGTAATCCATCATAACATGGCCATTGTATATACATATAGAATCATATAAGTCACATATAAATACTGTTATAGTACATATATTGGCAACATACTATATAAAGTACATATATAAGTACTATATAGTATAAGTCATACTATATTGTTAATCATATAAGTCATATATTGGGTTATAGTGCTATCAATTTCCTTAACGATGGTGGATTACCATGGATGACCAGCCCAGGCATTAAGCTGAACCGTTCGCAAGAGGCGGCCATGCGCTTGGTCTTGGAGAGGCGTGGTGAACTCTCGCAGGGTAGGGTGATCCATGCTGAGTTCGTTGATGGGTGGCTAATGTCTGGTAATTTCACTGGGGATTTATATGGGATTGAACCAACAAGAATGTGGTTTTATAAGGATATGATGGGGATATATAATAGGGTTTAACCTCTGGTAATTTAACATAGCTATGGGAAATCACCAATCTTAATAGGTTAGCATATCTATAAATGGGCAACTTTTCATAGCTACCTGAAGTTACCAGAGGGTAATGATCGATGTTTTTGAATGTTTTTGATGGTTCATGGCTGGTTAAGGGCAGATGATGGTTTATGGTTATCATCCTTGTTTCTGGTTGATGATGTTGATATTCTTGTTGATGGTGGCGGTGGGGGTGGAGGTGGTGGATGATCAGATAAACGGGCTATGTGGTTGGTAGTTGCATCCACGTCTTACGCTTGAATGGATAGCCACTCTATATTAAATACACATATGACGCACACATACATAGTTACAATCACAAATTATTACCATTCTTATTATGATTATGATTATCAAGATTATTGTGATGATCATTATTGTCATTGTGATGCATATATGTCCCGCAGCTCCAAATGTAAGGTCCCCATTCATACCCCGGAGGCACAGGCGATCCATACCCACGATCCATACCCTTTTGAAGAGATTGAATTCATTTGAGATCATTTGTGCAACTCATTTGTGCAACTCGTTCGTTCCACATGTCCGGATCACCGAGTCGCGATCCATACCCGTTTTTTGAGCCATAGTATATATATATATCACATATGCATATCATATAAATATATATACATAGATAGTAGATAGATAGATAGATAGATAGATAGATATTTATTTATTTATTTTTATTTTTTTTTTATATTTATCACACATATATTTATATATAACATATATATATATTTATATATATATATATCTCTCTCTCTCTTTGTTTGTATCGCCACCTGTTGGCCTGTGATGGCCCATTGGCTTGTCCAGGAGAAGACGCTTCAGTCTCATCCAAGGGCCACCAGGCGCCCATAGCCCCCAAAATGGATCCAATACTGAACCAGTTTTTTTTTTTAAATCAGGGTATTTATTAGGGGAATTGATTGCTCACATTTACCACGTTTCAGCTTTGGCCTAGTGAGTTGTATTCACATCGTGAATTTGGACATATCCTGTGACTGGGATCGGTGATATTCCCCAACATAAGGGATGTCAAACCACCCAAAGCATCACCCATTTTCTACCTCGGGCGTTTTTTCAGCTCGCCAGTTTCATGGGCTGTTGGGATCCATGACTAGAAAATGGAGCCCAGCCAGGGCCATATCTAGTAGGTTCGATATTGTTTAGGGTTTAGGGTTTAGGGTGTGTTCCATACGGTTTCCCATTATGGCAACCCCAAAAAGGATGATTGAAAGCAAGGTCCAATTCCAAAATAGTGGTAAAGTGAAGCTTTCAGTTTCTGTATAAATATATATATATAAATATCAATATACGCTAAAGAATTTCAACTTGGAGGCGAACCCCACTGACCAAGTCATATCTCAGAGCACCGGAGGCACTGGCAAGACCACCACAGCGGTGTCCATGATTTGTGGCTGGTTGAGGTGGCAGGGGTTGGGAGTTTAAGCTGGTGGTTTTTGCGTGCCTCGTATATACATATGATATATATATATATAGTACATGTATATACATGTGGTGATGGGGCTCTTTATACCAGTGTGAGAATACACACACATACATATATATATATGTATATTCTATAGCCTATATGTATATATATGATATGGCATATTATTGTACATGTAGACGATCTATTCTTTATTTACACCCTTGCGTTTTTTTTTCGAAATCGAAGGGGGCCCGTGACACCGAAGGACACGTCGGGGCCCAGTGCTGGCCAGCGCCTTTAGCAATCGCGGGACCGATAACTTGGCCGAGGCTTGGGGTTTGAAGCTTGGGGTTTGAAACCACTATTGACCAACGCTCTATCTGTAATATATAACCTAGTAATATACTATACAGCACCATATACACACCATATATATATATGTATATACACCATCATAGATATGTGATGATATGTGTGGGTGTAGGTATGTGATTATGAATGATGGACCATATTTTTGGCGATTTCAATCCGATAACAGCTTCAAAATTGTCACTACTGACTGATGTGTGAGATATGTGAGATATGTGAGGAGGTGAACTCCAGGCACCATTGATATCAGAGATGGTTTGCGGGAAGATTTGCAGAAAACTCTCTTTGTTCGAGCTTTGAAAGAGCTATAACTCCCCCCAATTGGTTTAGAGAGAGCAGACATGTGTGTGTGTGTGCGTTGGCCACATCATTTAAATGGGTCATAGATATTCATAAATCATATAACATCAATCCTGTGTACCCATAATAACCTATGATCATCATCTATTATTTAGATTCTAATCTATAATTATCATCCATAATCATTTGTATACCCACTATTAACATCATATCTATAATATCATCTATAATAATCATACTACCCATAGGGCCATAGCGTTTCATCCACAATTATTATCTGTAATCATTTGTTTTCATGGGTATCTACCAGGGTTTACGATTGGGTCAACTGGTAGACTCCCCTGGCATGGCAGGTGCTTCATAACCTGGGTGTACGGGTACTGAGGCGCTGACCTGGGCTTGGGATCCTCAAGGATTCATCGAAGTCGGGGAAATGAAAGATCTATTGGGATAGTATGATTAAAAAGTCACCCAAGTGAACCAACTTAAATGGAGACACATCTATCTATCTATCTATCTATCTATATATATATATCTATACCTATATAAAATTCACACACGCATATATATATATATAGTGCATACATACCCTCTGGTAATCCAACGTGGCAATTGATCATCCCCCATACCGGAGGCAAATGCCCCCGTGCTTCCAGTGTTGAGTCCAGACCCACCATGGACCGCCTTGGCAGTTCCAGGATGGGCCTTTGTCCACAAGATCGGCCGTACTCGCCGGGGACCGCAGCGGAAGCTGAGCAAGAGAAGAGGAGTTGCGGAAAAAATGCCATAGCACCTCGTGTGTGCAATCATGTGCATACATATTCAGAGAATTCCAGATACGTACGCACATACGTTACATCTCTCTCTCTCTCTCCCTCTCTCTCTCTCTATCATGCACGTGAAATATTTTTAGCCGCCTCAAACGACCTCAAACGACCTCAACATGAAGCTGGCACTGAGAGTGTGCGTGGCCTGTATTTGGGCCCAATGAACTATTGTTAGTATCTGATTTATTTTGATGTGATATGTGTTTCTAATTATGTCAAGAACTATGCATGTACAAAACTACATATATATATATAACGCATTATATACACACACTCACGCATACCTACCTACCTCCTACCTACCTACCTACCTACCTACCTACCTACAGACAGACAGACAGACAGACAGACAGACAGACAGACCTACCGACCGACAGACAGACCTACCTACCGACCGACCGACAGACAGACAGACATACATACATACAGACACACAGACATACAGACATACAGACATACAGACATACATACATACAGACAGACAGACATACATACATACATAAATGTATACTTTTTTTTTCATATTTTGTCAGTGCTCGGAGGTTTGTTTCTGACATCACCCGGTTGAAATCAGCTGGTCACTTGTACAACATGGCACATCTTGAGGTTCGAGAGCAGGTTGGCGGAATGCGGCCGCCAGCAAAGACCTCAGGTGATGGTTTGCAGCGGCAGTGACATTTTTTGTCACCAAATCATCAGGTGATCAGGTTACACCACATCTTATCATAAGTTACATCATGTCATCCCATGTTATCCGTTCTTTTCCTCCCATGGCCGGCCTTCATGGCCACTTGAATCAGTTTTGGAACATGGACCAAGGCGTGGTGGCGCAGGCTTGCGGCACGTCGCCTGGTCGCAGCAGAAATGGAGGATTTCATCGTTTTGGGTGTTTCAATATTTTTTTGTGTTTTTCCCCCCCTTTGTGGTGAAAATCAAAGAGTCAGAACAGCATAGAAGAGCTACATGCTATTGAAATCCAGCAAACTTATGCCAGTGATTTCTCTTGAAGTCAATAGTATGGTGATGTCTCTTGTCTCCCTCTGTCCCTTGACCATTTGTTGGTGGATTACGCATCGTATAGCTAAGGTCATGGAAAACATCGACGCCTGGGGGCCACAGTGAACAAACAGAAACACATGGGATTCATGGGGGGTCCCTCATTTTAATGCTTGACCCTGTTGCTGATACATTACCTTGGGTCCCACAAAAACAGAGCAGATTCCACCAAGAAAATCGGGTCCCAGTCTTATCTAAATTACATAGTCAACTAAGGTTCGACCCATCCGATCCAGAGAGCAGTCATGGCCAAGCAGGAACCACAAATTATGGACACACACACACAACATGCATCAACATACAAGCATGAACAGTTCGGGAGTCTGCCAGAGTCCAACGGTGCAACAGCAATCCCAGAGCAGATGACCCAATGGGATTTTTTTGGGGGAGAACATCTATAATGTGAACCCTGGATGAATAAACCCCTAGGCTGTGTAATTGCGGGGGCGCAATTGAAGTAGTATCATATTATTACATATTATCACTATTTGGATCTATTTGGGGAGTACCCCCCAAATTTACAAACCAGCGTTTATTATTTCGGGGTTGACATTATTATGCATACCGTCCGGCATTAAAACGTGGCAATTGAACATCCGCCATTTATATATGCATATATATAATTAGATGCATTTCCCATTAAAACCTCCATTTATAGTGGATTTCCATTGCTATGTTCGATTACCGGAGGGTATGTATATTATATATATATATGCATGTATATGTGCATATATATATATATATATGTGCATTAATATTTATGTCGATATCCACGTTGCCGTCTATTTTTCTCCTCGCAGTGCTCCTCTCAGGTCGTTTGTGCAACCTGCATCGGTTGTGGCATGGGGCCCTTAGAGACTTGGATGCGGTGAGAGGGCACAGGTGGGTAACATCCCAACCAGGTGGAAGTGATATGTACTGTTTGCACATTAAATTGACACTGTATAATATAGTGTATCCAAACAATGGATATATATACATATATACATACATGGTGCAGTACAGGCACACACACACAGATGTATATCATGTATAGGTAGACAAATACACAATGTGTATGTATATAGAGGGTTCTACTTTCGAAACGCCTGGTGTGCCTTTGGCCTTGGCTTCATCCCTTGCCCCAATTGCGCATTGGTGGGGAAGGGATTAGTCATGGGGGGCAAGTCCCATACCCGTTGTATGTGTTCTGCATGGGATGATGGTGACATTGATGACTCATGTGATGCACAGGAAAGATATGGAAAGAGACAAACATAGGTGGACCATGTTTGATGCAAGCCTGCCCTTTGTTCATGTTTAGGATATTTGTTGATGTTGATCTAGGATAAATACCCCTAGTTTAATAGGGTGGTACCAATTGTAATGGGATTTTATCTAATGGCTTTGAGCACTATTTTGGGTGTAGCCACCCCAATTCATCGGCAGAGTTTCTTAATCCAGGCTTGACAATCGTGAAGCCAGGCTTCTGAGTCTCTCACAGGTCTTCACCAGCTGATATGCTGAATTATGTAGCTTTTGCGTCATTTCATCACTTATAGGAACATTACCATTGCCATCACCATTCCCAGGTGTTTGCCTCAGTGTTTTTACCTCTACAACCAGTGATGGCTGGCCATTTTTTCCACCGAACCTCCAAGGATAAGATCCGATTCCCCTTCGCTGCGGCCTCAGTGATGACTGGTCAGTCACCATGGTGACAGTCCGGTAATCAAACGTGGCGCAAAGGAACATGGCCGTTCTTGATGGGAAAATCATTTGTAAAGAGTGGGATTTCCGGCTATCCATTGCTATCCATGTTTGATTGAGGTTATCTCATGAATATCGCAGTAATATGCCATGAAAAACCTATTAAACCCCATTAAACCCTATGGATCAGCTTTAGATTAGCCAACAAAAACAACACCTCTCTGAGGTCGTCATCGATGAAGCCGCGCAAGTCATTGAGCCAGCGGACCCAGGGTTTCCAGGATTGTCGTTCTTGGGTCAGGTGTCCCTATTTTCTCCAGGTTCCCAACTTCTTTCTATGTCTTTTGGGGTTGTTATACTCTACTAACATGGTGGGAACACTGCTAATGATATCACATATTTTAATACAGTAGTAAAACTGAGCAATGTTCTTTTCTATTTGCGAGGGGTGTGAGGAGCACAAGAATAAAAGACCATCCAGTTCCTACAGAAATGGGTGGCAATAAACCATCCACAAACAGTAGGTTTGTTATTGGTTTCCCACGGTTTACACTATCATCATCATCATCATCATCATCATCATCATCATCGTTATCGTCATCGTCATCGTCATCTCCATCTTCATCTTCATCTTCGTCTTCGTCTTCTTCATCTTTTCGGGGTGCCAAGCAGCTCAGAGGCTCAGAATTTTCATGTTCTTCTTGGGCCGGGATTGATTAGTAGTTGATCAACACTCGGAGATGCCAGGGTGTAGTCAACCAAAGGTCAGTGCTGTGATTGTGTCCCGTGCCAGCTTTCGGCTTGAACATGTAAACAGCTCAGGCACAGGGGGTTTAGCTGCCCCATGTGGGCCGCATGAAGTCCAAGAGGTTGCAGGTGAAATCCGATACGGCCACTGGTCACCTAGACACAAACCATACATGATTCGTGTCTACCTAGACATTCTTCTATGATCTGATATGGGAATGGACAGGCTTATATGATCTTTTATATGTACACATGTGAAAGACTGTCGTTTTCTGGTAGCTTATCCAGTAATTTCCATGGCTTCCCTCCACGTTTCCCAGCGTTCTGCTTCGGAATTGCCCTGCAGTATGTAGCATTCTGCCGTTTCTTGCCGCCATGGCGTTGTCACTGGGCAACCGGCTTCCATGTCTGATCCAGTGCGCCAAGCCATTCATTGACTGGGTTGTCTTTTTTTCGGGGGCCCGAGGTGGACAAGATAGATAGTAATTTCATATGAGGAGACACAACCATTTATGAATCTATGCATTAAATTCATCATCTAGTTGGGGAAAAATAGATGGTAAAAAGATGTGAAGTCTTTGGATATTGATATTTCAACAAGATGGAAACACCTGGGGGCATGAGGGTTTTGACCCATCTGGGTTTGTCTGAAAATAGGGTTTCGCCAAATTTGATGGGTCATCATTTCCACTATTTAAATGCAAGTCTTTGGGTAACTACAGGGTTCCCGACCCATAGACGGCCGTATGGTTTTAGGAGTTTTTCATCAACAAAAATGTCGTTTTCGCTACAGCGAAACGTCATTTTTTCTCATGTTGACGTGAAAAATAGGGTTTTGAAAATCTCCAAAACTACTTCGTTTTTTGACATAAGTTCGTGTTTTTTTGGGATGCAGCACTTTTTTTCCTTCTTCTCAGAAGCGCTTCATTGCTTTGACGGCCTTGCAAAGTTCTTTGAGAAACCGGTGAGGTGTCAATGGTCCCAAAGATTTTCGCCAACAGTAACCCAAGACAAACTTTTCCAATTCAGGGTGTTCTTTTGTGTTGACTCCATCATACAACCGTCTTGGAAAGGCCTTTCCACCATCTGTCAGCGATTTGCGTCCCTGCCACAGTGGACAGGAAAAAAAAGGAGGTTCTTCGCATTTGTTTGGTCCATTCTTTGTTTTGATGAGACACTTTGGCATGTTTGATTTTCAAACTTTTGGCATGTGACTCCCAAGCACGGTTTCCATCTGCAAAAACAATGGTGCGCATGACGTGTGTGTGCAAGTGCAAGAGAAGATCACCATAGCGTAGCATGACGTGTGTGAGCAAGTGCAAGAGAAGATCACCACAACTTAGCATGACGTGTGTGAGCAAGTGTGCAAGAGAAGATCACCATAACGTAGCATGACGTGTGTGTGTGCAAGTGCAAGAGAACATAACAATAACGTAGCATGACGTGTGTGTGCAAGTGCAAGAGAACATAACAATAACGTAGCATGACGTGTGTGGGCAAGATGACATGAACGTCATTGCCCCACCCCACCCCACCCAACCCCACCCCAAGATAACCATAACGTAGCATGACGTCTGTGTGCTAGTTGACATGCAAGACCATCAAAAAACGAAAAAAATGCCAAAAAATGCTTAAAACACCACGGCCGTCTATGGGTCGGGCTCCAACTACAGTACTATGTTTGGACAAAACCCATCTTAAGCGAGAGGTACGATGCCCCTGACATTGGATATCTGTCTCTGCAGCTACTTGGCGTCTTCAGTTGTGTTTTTTTTTTAGTGCGTCTATTTTCAACATGCTTTAGCCTGTCCTTGGTGCAGTCACCAGCAATCGGCTGTCGTGTCAACATTGTGATAAAACACCTGGGTTTACATAGTAATTGGGCCTCACTGGGTGTTATATAGGTAATTACCAGCATTACCACCAGGGTAAATTACTATGTAACCAGGCCTATTACACTGGTGCCTCATCTTCCAAAGCATTTCTCACTGGGGGTAATGCACCAGCGATGGACAGCTGGTGAATCCCATGAGGCCAGGTCAAGAGGTGACGATTCAGTACATAGGACGGCCAGAATTTGGTTGGCGCAGCTTGGGAGTTGTTGGTTTGCTTCATGGGATGTCAATGTTCAAAATGCTCAAAATGCTCAAAATGGGTTCAGGTGTCGGAAAACCAGGTTGGTTCCAGATGTTCCAGCTTGACTTCAGATAAAGTCCTTGCCTTTTGCCAGGAGGCAGTGAAGATCCAGATTGGCTCTACGGCAGCTCCGAAGGACGTCGTGGGTGGTTCCCCAAATTCTGTTTCTCGACCGGGCTGGCGAAGGAGGGCGAGCTGGGCATGCAAATAGTTGAGACTTCTGAGATTCAGGGGGCCATTTGAGACTTCAACCATTAACCCAAAAATTATAGACATATCAATTCATATCATATCATCATACTATAATAATGGTTAATAGATGTTAATAGTATTTCATATCATCATATCATATATCTATTTGTCTTCAGTTTTGGGGCCACTCAACTTCAGCTCATTCCACCGCCAGAAGGGCGCCGCCGTGGCCTCTGAGGTGTGCTGAATGCCCCGCGTTCTCCACCGCCACCCTTGCCGCCACCGCCACCACCGCTGGACACGTCGCCCTTAGAGCAGGTGCGAGCTGAGGGGGCTGGGAACATTTGGGAACATGATGGCAATCTCATCACCACCTCAAACAGAGAAACCATAATACAACTATACAACTAGCGCTACCCTTTGGTAATCCAACAGCATGGAAAATGGACAAACCAATTTAGTTCTATTGGTAATCTATCTAGCAGTTTGCTATCGAAAAGGGACCATTTAGTTCGATGATTAGCCATTAGCATCAATGGTGGCTTTCCATAGCAAACTGTTAAGTTACCAGGGGGTAATGATTGGTGAACAGGGAATAATCCGGAATGATTTCTAACTGATGGGATATCGTTTGATTTTTGAACTTAGGGATTATTGAGAATTACTGGGAGTTCTGCAGTTTTTGACACCCAATAAGTACACCAAAGTTCGCTGCCAAAAAAAATTGACGAGCCCACCTCACTTCAGGGCATGTTGTTCCTTGACCCTCAGTGTGCTCACAGAAACAAAAAAAGGTTTTGGTCCCGAAATTCTTGGAAAACGTGTTTCACATGCAAAATTTTGGTCAAACCAGGGTTTTTAGAGGTTCAGCTTGTCGTTTCTGCGGTCGAAGAGTCGATCTGCCAGGAGAGCGAGAAGAACGTCACCCCGGCCGTGACGGCGGCGGTGGCGCAGCTTGAGGATGATGTCTTGGAGCTCTTGATCCAAGATGAGTTTCGCGGAAAAACATTGGTTGCGAATGAGGTAATCAGGTAATGTCAACCGCAGATGAATAAACCATGGTTTATGAATTATGGGGGTACCCTCCAAGTAGTGGTAATCTGATACTTAAATGGTACCCCCCAATTAAGCAGACTATATAGGGGTCATGGATTTTTGAATCCAGGGTTGACATAGATGCCAATGATACTTGTAACTCTATGTCTATATTGGATTAATACTATTACATATTCCCAGCTAGTCCCAACTTACTCATGGATGCTTATGGTGCTAACTCTTGGGCCTCCGTAATGATAGTGTGAAATCAGCTTGAATTTCGTAGCACTTGGGCTCTTTCAGGGAAAAATCCTTTGAGGAGCCATAGGGCTGTGACCCGGGGAGGGGTTTCATCGTGGGTTGTTCTGGCTCCTCAAGGTGAATTGTCATCTTGGGGATAGGCCCAGGCAACTCATGGTGGAGCCTGAACCCTGGCGACGCACCGGGCGGAAGGCAAAGCCAGACCATTTCATTGGTTTGGAAAGTGGATGCCTGGTGGAGCTTGCCGTGTATGACGACCACGGTGCTCAACAAGGACGAGCAGTGGCAGAACTTCGAGCTCGGGGTGAAGAAGGAGCCGGAGATGATGGCCAAGTGTGGCTTTCTCAGCTTGTGGCCATAGAGGATCCCTACTTTGATTGGTGGCATGACCAGACCTATGTGGACAAGACAGTCCCATTGCATGTGTGTGGGCGTCAGGCACATCGGTGCCCAATGGTGACTCTCTACCGGAACCCCCTTCACATGGATGTTTTCTGACTACTTCCTGGAAGAAGCGCTATGAGTCTGACATGGCCTTCTGACGATGAGAAGATAAAGATTGAACGCCTCATCGAGTCTCGACCTTCCGGAGCCACGCCAGTGGGGCCTCCTGCTGGTGGTGAACCCGGGAGGGAGAGGGGAGTTGAGGCGGGAGAAGCTGGCATTCAAGGGCTTGCGAACGCTCTGGGTGCCGTGGAGGCTGACAGAGAGGCTCCAAAGGAGGAGAGAGGGGCCACAAAGCGGCAAAAGACAGAAAAGGAGAGAGGAGACCTTCCGAAGGAGCGTAAAGCAGTCTCGGGATTGGATGAAGTTATCAAAGAGCGAGCGGCCTCAGCGCCTGAGTTGTCGGCCCTCAAGCTGAACGCGAAAAAGAAGAAGAAAAAGAAAGATCAGAAGAAGAAAGGAAAGGACGACAAGAGGAAGAAGAAGCGTCTTGAGGAGGAGTCTTCATCTGTGTCTTCGGAAAGCAGCACAAGTACTGATGGCTCGGATTTTCGATTAGCCGCCCTACCCCAAGGGGTCGAGAAGCTCCAGAGGTTGCATCAGGAGCACCCCGGCTCTTTGGCGAACCTGACGCTGAAGAGATTCAACGAACTTCTGCAACGCAGCACGGGGGGGGGAACGGCATCCGGAAGTCAGGAGCTCCCAGCAGTAGCTCGGGCTTACCTCAGCCAGATCTATTTGGTGAAGTGCCCGGAGTCCATGATCGGACTGAGGAATCTTCGGGAACTACGAACGTTGACAACCATGGCCGACCTGATTTGCAACAACGACGGACTGAGGGCCCTGGACATAGCTTTGCAGCGGATCAAGGCCATAGAAGTCTTTGTGACCCAGGGCACGTGGACCCAGGCGACACAACTGGAGCTGATCCCGGCAGAAGGGGAACAGAGGGCCTGGTTCCGGCAGGAGCTGAAGGCGGCCCAGCAGGAAGCAAAAGCGGAAAGCAAGCTCTTCCTGGACCAGTGGCCGAGGCGACGGCGCCAGTGGGAAGTGAGCCCCCAGGCTCCTCAGGCCGAGGACAAGAAAGAAGGCGGAGGAAAAGACGACATGCCTCCCGCGAATGGGGGCAAGAATCGAAAAGGAAAAGGCAAAGGGAAGAAAGGGAAGAGATGGTGAATCACCCTGAAGGTGAGGTGTATGTGGAGCAGGAGGTGATTGACGAGCTGGCTGGTGAGCGAAGCATGGATGAGAAGCAGAAGGGGATGTTGAAAGCCCTAGGGGAGACCCCCGGCTTGACTAGCCTTTTTAGAGAACTCCGGAAGTACATCAAGAGCCCCCTCGGTTGGAAGAAGGCTCAACGTCAAGTTATGACTGCTGCTATTGACAAGAGAGACGCCACGGTTGAGGCCGCTGTGGCCAGACTCGCTTTGCCCTGGCGGAGGTTGCTGCTAGAGGAGCCGCCGGAGCACAACGCAGATCTCATGCGGCTCTTGGGGTTGCCAACGGTTCCCTTGAGTGTATGCTCGGGGGAGGCCGAAGGAAAACTCTGGGAGACGTATCGAGGAGTTGAACTGCGAGAGGTGACTGCTACATTTACCGGTCTATGGGGCGTCATGGTCGGCAAAGGCAAGCGGGACATCGCTGATTCCCTGTACACAGCGGCGCTGGTCCCAAAGCTCAATGGTGGGATGCTACGCCATATGCTCACAGGACGGCGTCTGTATGTGACCCAGGAGGAGATACCATGGGCAAGACAGATGATAGAGGAGCTGAGGCTGGAAGGTGGCTCTGAAAACTCACCCGCTGCTTGGCGAGAGGGTTTTAGGAAGTTGTGCTCGTGGCCGATGACGCTGAGTTTGGCTGGAGTGGTGATCAAGACGATGCTGTTGCACCGCCCCGGTCACCTTGGGAACTTTACGAGAGCGTTCCTCTGCTGCGCTTCGGAGACCTTTCAGCGGTCAACGGTTGAGCTACTTCCGATTGCCCTGCCAGTCGGTAGCGCTGAGGAAACGGAGCTCATCTCTCAGCTCACAGAAGTGGCACTGAATGGAAAAGTTTGGGATGCTTCGGATGTGGAAGCTTGTGAAGCCAGAGCAAAAGCTTGTGGCTGGCAATCGTGGACCTGGCTGCAGTTACTAGCACTGAATGCCATGTACTGTGGCGGTGGGACACCTCGGTGGCTGACTGATTCAATGTTTCACTCCAACACCTTGAGTGCAGCCCAGCAAGAGGTTGTCAGCCGTCAGGAGGAGCTGGCGAAGAAGTGGACAAACCATTCCGAAGAGCAGATTCAGGTCGAGGATTGGGACAAGCTGGAAGAGAGCCTCGGTGGCTTGTACACTGGGGCCTCGATCGGTAAGTCTTATCCTTTGACTCTGGATGCCATCAAGCCCACGACTCCTGGGCCGGGTGAAGCGGCCAGGATTGATCTCACAGAGGTGGTCAGCGACGAATTGAAAGGGTTTGCCGACAGCCCAGCCTCGCTGCGCATTCCGGATGAGGAATTGGTCCATCCCCGTACGACAGCGGCCGTCCAAGTAACTTCACAGGAGGAGTGGGACAAAATCGTCTCATACCTCGTGAAAGCGAAGATGCTGGAGCGTGAGAAGCCCAATGAGACCCTTATGTATAAGGGGACGGCTGTACGAAATGGAGCCTTTGGAGTTCACAAGGGTTGGGTGCTGAAAGAGGACAACACATGGTTGAGGACATTGAGATTGATAATCAACCTCATCCCATCCAACACTTTCCAAAGGCGAATACCCACTAAGCCGTCGGAACGGATGGGATATGGGCCGAGCTGGGGCGCACTTTGTCTTCATGAGGATGAGGTCATCCTGTGCTGCGCAGAGGACCAGAAGCACTGCTTCCACATATATCGTCCTGGCTATGCCTGGCGGGGATTCTTTGTCCTCAACCGGAAGGCCAGTGGAGCCTGCTTCCAGGATGGACTGGAAGACAAGGCTTACCCGAGAGTGGTCAGTGCTCCGATGGGCTGGAGCAACGTGGTCGACTTCATACAAGACGGCTTTGAAAATTTGGCCATGCGAGCAAATCTCGAGCCTGGGAGGATCATCAGAATGAATGAACCTTCTCCTTTGGCACCTCTGACGACACCTCGGGACTTCTATTCGTTCTATGTGGACAACTTTGACCAATTCAAGGTGGTTTGGCGCACAGAAGCCGGCACTTATGAAGGCAGCCCGTCAGCAGAGCAGCTACAACTCCGTCAGGAGATGGAAACATTGGGGGTTGGACGAGACCCAAAGAAAGCTGCAGAGAGCACTCGAAGCTGGAGCTCCCTAGGTGCGGAGGTTGATGGAGATCTTGGTCTGATCGGCAGCTCCCTGAAGTTCCGCCGAGCCCTCTTGGGTGCAAACTTGAAAGTCGTGGGTGAAGACACGGTCGGAAGCCACAGTCTTGGACTGCAGTCAGTGGTTTCAAAGAACATGCACTCAGTCCAGTACAAGCGGGCTTTGGCGTGCCTGTTCGACTCACTGTACACAGAAATGGGCTTGGCCATGCCCAAGGTGCTGAGTGAGAAGTCGAAAGATGAATTGCTGTTACTCAGCATGACCCTTCCGTTGCATTGGATGAGCCAGAAGATGAAGCTTGAGGGGCAAATCTATGCAACTGATGCTTCTGAAGAAGGAGGAGGTGCATGTCAGTCCACTGGCCTCACGAAGTGGGGGCATTCTCGAGTACACACGTTGGCGCATGAGACGGCCGGCGTTGAAGGAGGAGGAGCCGACCCTATCCTGGTGGTCGAGTGCTTTGCAGGAATAGGAGGCCTGAAACAAGCGCTGGACCTGTTGGGATTGGTCCCAATGGGGAACATTGGGATCGACAGCAGCTCAGAATGTGGAAAGGTGTTTCGGCAGCATTGCCGGCATGCGGTGTGGTACAGCTCGATTGAATCAGTAACCTTCGCTGAGGTGAAGGAGTGGCGAAAGAAATTTTCAAAGGTGACCAAGGTACTCCTCAGTGGAGGATGGCCCTGTGTGAATCACAGCCACCTCAATCCGAGGCGTGGTGGAGCCGAAGCAGCCAGCAGCCAATTGCTGGACAAAATGCTGGAAATTAAAACCATGTTGCGCTTGTGCTCCCGAGAGCTAGGGATGCCGGACTGGGAGGTCCTTGAGTTCTATGAGAACGTTGTCATGGACAAGCACGACTACAAGATTCAATCGGGAAAAATTGGATTTGGTGGAACGTTCTTCGAAGCGGCAATGGTGGGCCAAGTGCGGCGCCCTCGCATTTATTGGATGAAAGGTTTTCCTTTTGTCCAGGGAACAGATGGAAGTGTTGGGCCTCGGCAGCCAATGCGCAATGAGGACTACATGCTGCCTTCAGTGAACATACAGACAAACAAGCCACCTATGTCGTGGTTCCTGTGTGCTGATGCCACCAAGATGGAAGCGGAGAACGAACCTTTCCCAACGATCACTCGTCCACAGGCCAGGGCCACACCTCCGGAGCAGCCTGCAGGACTTGAACATTGCAGCCCCAAGGCTCTGGCACGTTGGAAAGGGGATAACTACCGTCTCCAGCCTTACCATTATGAAAATCGAAACATGGTCGTGGACGCGCATGGGCCTCGGAAGTTGAAACCCGAGGAGCAGCTGCGCCTCATGGGATTCCCAACCAACCACCTAGAACTGAAGAGCCGGCTCTCCGCAGATCTGAAGAGCCAGCTTATTGGCAATTCTTTTGCGGTCATCGCTGTGGCCCGCTTGCTGGTGGGGCTGGTGGCGACAGAAGAGCAGGTGGTCGCCAAAGATCTGACCGAGATCCTATGGCGTGTGTGGAAACGCAATGAGACCAAAATCCAGCACATGGACAAGCCATGGAAACTCAGATTCGGTTCTGCTGCAGCGGACCTTTCCGGGGTTGGCAGCCTTCGCTTGGAGGTTTGCCGGCTTGCGGGTATTCCGTTGCGGCAGTATCTGGATCCTGAGCGGCGGCTCTCGGACGAGGAATTGCTGGTGTACCTGCTCACCAGGAATGGAACCCACAAAGGCGCTGACATCCGAATGGATCTCGGCATGCCATATGCTGTGGGTGAAATGACCCGACAGAGCATTGACCCCTCCAGCTGGACCTGGAAAGTGCTCATGTCGTATGCCTGGAAACAAAAAGACCAACATATCAATGTGTTGGAAACAATCGCGGTGCTGGACCTTTTGAGGAAACTGGCGCGCAGTGTGAAGTTTCACAAGTCTCGGATTGTCATTTTGGTGGACAATCAGGTGGCGCTGAGTGTGCTCACCAAAGGGCGCACCTCGGCCAAAGCTCTGCAATCACCCATCCGCCGAGTGTCGGCTGTCCTCTTGGCCTCGGAAGTCTTGGCATGCTATGGCTGGATCAAGTCCGGCTGGAATCCGGCCGATGGGCCGTCGCGATGGCGAGCGCGCCGCAGCCATGCCTAAGAGAGGTCTTGTCCTTGAACGCCGATCCGCGGCCCAGAGAAAAACAGACCGACGTGCATTGGGTAGTTTGCAGAGCTTAGTTGTGGCACCCTCTACTAGGGGTAGATATTTCCAGGCTGTTTCACGCTTTCTCGAATTCCTGCAGCTGCATGGTTATGGTTATCCTTGTACCTTTTCTTCCTTAGATGGACGTGTGTGTGAATTCATTGAATATCTTTGGCACAATGGGGAACCCAAAGCATTTGCGTCCGATTGCCTTAGTGGTTTGGGGCATTTCATTCCTGCCACGAAAAAGCACTTGGTGGGGGGGTGGCATCTTCATGGGAGCTGGTCACGTGCGGAACTGCCGGCTAGAGCCATCCCGTTTACCCCTGTTATGGTGTATGCCATTGCCCAGAAGGCTTTTGAAAAAGGTTGGGAAGATTTATGTCTCCTTGTCCTCCTCGGCTTCGACCGTTTTGCCCGCACCGGAGAGTTGTTTGCGGCGACTAAACAAGACTTTGTCTTTAACCATTCACGTTCAAAGGTAGTTTGGTCTCTGCCCCTGACCAAAAGCGGTCAGAGGGTGGGAGCGCAAGAATCTTTGGTGGTGGAAGACCCTTGGTTAGTCCGTGCTCTTTCTAACTACCTTCGCTCACTTCAGAATGGTGATACTTTGCGGCAAACTTCTCCCGGAGTTATGCGGAGTCGCCTGAAACAACTTCTTCTTGAATTAAATTTTTCTGATGGCTTTCAATGGTATAGCCTCAGACGAGGCGGGGCCACCCACCTTTTTCGTTCTTCCAATAATATGTCTCAGGTGTGTATGATTGGGCGTTGGAACTGCCAAAAAACGGCACGCATCTATGTGACTGATGCCTTGTCCCAACTGACTGAGATTTCAGCATCTCTTGCCACGCGCCAGCGTTGGCTAATGTTGGCCAAGAAAGCCAGGCCCAACTTCTCTTTTGATCTTTGACCCCTCCCTTTCCCCCCCTTCTGTCCAGGGGCTAAATTATCTTTCTGGTCTCCTCACTCCATCCTTGCCCAAGTGACCCAAACTTGGCTACCTGTTTTCACTGCTTTGCGCAGAAGACAGGGTGGGGTGGACACCGGTGTCTGGGTGCTTGTAGTGCTAGTGCTGGGGGGCGGCACCCAGGAGATCTGCTGTGAGGTTCCGGTTTCACTGTGTGTCTGGGTATGCTGCTGCTCCCTGGCATCAGGTTGGTGGAACACGTGCTGAAACCGTGTACCTGGTGTTTGGGGGCGTTGGTGTGCCTGGGTGCCTGCTTGCATGTTGGGGTAAACCCTAACTTCTGACAAAACTCCTTCGAAGCGTAGCTTAGTTAAAAGAGGAATGGCTGCTGCTTGAACACTAACTCTTGGGCCTCCGTAATGATAGTGTGAAATCAGCTTGAATTCCGTAGCACTTGGGCTCTTTCAGGCCTCCTCAACCCCTGCCTTCCACCCGGGAGGGACACCGGTGTCTGGGTGCTTGTAGTGCTAGTGCTGGGGGGCGGCACCCAGGAGATCTGCTGTGAGGTTCCGGTTTCACTGTGTGTCTGGGTATGCTGCTGCTCCCTGGCATCAGGTTGGTGGAACACGTGCTGAAACCGTGTACCTGGTGTTTGGGGGCGTTGGTGTGCCTGGGTGCCTGCTTGCATGTTGGGGTAAACCCTAACTTCTGACAAAACTCCTTCGAAGCGTAGCTTAGTTAAAAGAGGAATGGCTGCTGCTTGAACACTAATTATAGTGGTTCTAGTTCTACCTATTTGGATGAATTAATATGATTAGGACGGATCGGGGGCATCATCCACAAAGGCCCTTCAGGTCGGTGAATCATCATAATTTTTCCAGCTGATAATCTATTTGAGGTTATTATTTGGATAGTTCTTGGAGTAATTTAATGCCACTTGGTGAGTGACAAGGTATCCCCAACTATCATACTACCAGAAAGGACCAAATCAAATCTTGGCTTATTCGGTGATGCCACTACCAATGGGATAACTAGTCGAAGGGCCGTGCTTCCGGGTGGTTCTGGAGGTTCTTGCGGTTCGCTGGGGTTGTTCCAGATGTTCACTGGCTGCTGTCACACTCGCGGGGATACCACCTTTTTTTGGGGGGGAGGGGAGGGTAGCCAAGTCTGAGGCATCATAACAAACCCAATTTGATAGTGACCATCCAAATCTGTGAATTCTTGTGGAGCGCCTCGGACAAATTTTGGGGAACCAATGGTTTGGGGTACCCCAATTTTAAGGGACACCATTGAACCATTGGTTGAATCCTCCAGTCATTTCCAGCCAGTTTTTTGTTGCTTGAATCCTCCACGGCTTGAGACATTTTTCTGCCGAGGCTGGCTCGCAGACCCAAGTTGAAACACAAGGCGAGTGGATCGTTTGCACGTGGTTTTTGGATGAATCAGGACTCGATGCATTGAAGATCAGCACGAAGTCTGATAAAAGTGCAGTGTGCATTGACTGAACCCTGTGGATCCCTGTAGTCATTTGTTACATATAGCTATTGAACATCATCATTTTCGGTAAATCATCGAACTATGTGGGCCATTGCCAATATTTCCATAGCACGTTTTTTTGAATTACTAGAGGGCCAGAGGGTAGGTATATTCCAATCCTCCCATCTGAGTCTCGGGACCAGTGGTAGTTACCAACTGATCCCCATAGTGGATACTGAGTCGATCCCTACAGTCAGGCCGAATTGACTTCAAGGGGGTTGAAAGCACCTAGGATACTCTGATGATACTGTGGTAAGCCATGTTAAGCCCAAAACCCATAGCAACCATCACGACTTAGCAGAAATGGGTGGGAACATGTGGTCGCCAATTCGCACTTGGAGGTTTGGGTTTGGCCAAATGAGGAGGGTTTCCCTAAAATGGGGGAGCCCAAAAGCATCAAAGATTTCATTACTGCAAGGGAAACCAATGGTTTTGGGGCACCCGAAGTTTGAGAACCACGCGTATTCAGAGAAAACATACATACAATGAATGCCCTATATTCCCATTGCAGTATGTGCGTTATATTCCGCTCCATTCCATTGCAGTTCATCAACTTTCACTAACTTCCCATCTTGATTTCCTCAACAAAGTGATTCATTTTCAATCATTTTCTACAATTTTCATTCATTTCCCATTCATTTCCCATTCATTTCCCATTTCGTATGCCCCTATTTTTGTTTTGGTCTATTGAAGTCCATCGTGGATCTCTCGCAGATCATGACCCTGGCCGCAGCATGGCGCTGTGCGAGTGGCTGGTTTCATTTTAGGAGGACGTGATGTGGATATGCTGGGAACATCTGGGAACATACATGTATACAATTATATACAAAAATAATCACACACACACACACACACGCACATATGTATATATATATATACATATGTATATATGTACTTAAAACTTCAGAAAACTTGGGATATTCGCATAGTGTACCATGGAAATATAGTCGGATTTTAATTGTTAAGAGAATTTGTTAAATGGTGATCCGTGGTGGTTCACCCCGGTTGGTAAGTGGATTATATATCCACACTTGCCCTACTTGTAACTGGGGTTATAATCCACTTACTGGACCACCAAGTTGTGCCTAGTTATGTGGCAAAATTTGAATGCTTATGAACCGTGACATTTTCTCTTGGCACACTCACTTTTTCAGATAAACTCAAATGATTTACATTGATTTACTGTAACTGTGCTCAAGGTTTGACATGTCATGTGTGTACACGCACACACACACACATATATATAGTACACACACAGATAGATATATATATATACACATACGTATTCATGCGCTGTGAATTGGGAGCTGGCTTACCATGCCATGGGACTGCCAGCCCATTCAATTTTGGCTCAATTGGTGCAGGGTGAAACCCTCCCACCCTTGGTGCATCAATTCATGACCCTCAGCCTCGGCTTCAGTGCGCATTTTGCTTGGCTCGGTGGAGAATGCTTTCAAGGTGCTGGATGATGCCCTACCTTGGATGGCTTTGATGCGGCCATGGATGAGCCGTTTCCAACGCTGAAAGCTGGTTCACCAAGTACAGGGAAATCGTCAGCAACAACCAGCACGCCTATTCGAGGATTCTTACGGGCAACCCATTCTATTGGGATGAGTGCACTGCGATGAAATCCGGGGGTTGCCACTTCCATTACGACTCCGCCCTTCGAACCGAGGCGGACTTTGCGTCCACAAAAAAAAACACTGCTTGGAAAACTATGAGAGACACATAGAGCGGGTGAAGCAAGTCATTCCGCCCCAGAAGTTGTTGGTCTACAACTGGTCCGATGGGTTGGGCTCCTTTGGTGCATTTCTTGGAGCTTCCCTTTCCAGAAGACGAGTTTCCATACTTCGATGGGGTGAAGTTCGAAGCTGTGGCGAAAGCCGCCATCAGTGACATCCTTGGATTGATCGGATGAGACCAACAGCTGGATGGATCACCAGCTGTTGGTTTGAGTGATTTAAGGTAATCAAAGCTCATGTGATCCGTGCAGGATAACCCAGAAAGTGGGAGATATAAGCCACCATAACCCACCATAAACGCCCCCGACTTTAGACAAATTTAG